CCAGCATAAGCGTGAAGAACAATAATCCGAGACTCTGTCAAAGCCACTTTAACCAGTAAATCAGTGATGTTACTCTGGTTAGGATCAAGGACCAAAGGTGCTTTGTATGAGATTTTACAACGTCTCTCAGCAAGCATATCCCCTAATGCAGCAATCCCATTTCTCCCATAGTCATCATCAACATAGAGTGCAATTACCTCTTTCCATCCGTAGTGGTCAATCATTGCGGCTACTGCAGCCATTTGATGCAGATCATTCTGGGTGGTTCTAACAAAGAATGGGAACTGAAGTGAAGACAGGGTGGGGTCCGTTACTGAAAATGATAATAGAGGAACTTGGAGCTCATTTGCAATATGAGATATTACATGAGCTGTGACAGCATTCTGAGGTCCAATTATGGCCACTGTGTCCTTCTCCATGAACCGTAAGGCTGCAGCAAGAACAGCTGGATCTGAATTCACAGTGTTCCTATATAATGCATTTAAGAGAGATCTTACAAACTGTGAACAAAGTTGCAAGACGTACCTTCAACGATGCCCAGAAATCCACTGTAATTTGAGTCTTGCATTTTAACTATCATCTTAGTTCCACCAAGAACAGCTGGATCAGAATTCACATCTTCAATGGCAGCTTCTATTGCCACTTTAGCAACTTTGCCAACAATGGAATTGAAAGAGAAAACAGCCCCAACATTTACAAATTCTGGTCTTGTAGAGACATTCGTGCTACCTCCATTTGAGGCAACCACATTATAGAAAACCATCAACACCAAGAGCCAAACTATATTCATCGTAAACCCCCCAATTTTCAACTTGCTTTGCAAAGGAAGCAAAACCAGCCACCCAGAAAGCGGTAGAATCAACTGGACTTCAAACTCATACACTGGCATAGTTAAGAAACACCGAAAAATATGCAAGCAACTAAGAATTTCATCCAGTAACATGAAGAGAACAACTAGGTGCTGGAAGAGTATGTACACGTAACCTGAACATCATAAACTCCACAAGAAGTAGATAAATAATTAGAAATTCCCACTAATAACTAGATCTAATCATGAAGCATAAACAGACAAATGATAAGTTGAGCCCATAAACTAGAGTTTTCTGCTAAATTACCAACTAATCAGACCCATGAAGAGACAACAGACACAAAATGAAAGTAGAAAGCAGCTTGTGAGGAAAGATTTTTACTTTGAGGAAAAAGGAAGCGCGTTTAATACG